ATTGGATAACTCTGTTAAAAATTTACAAATCAAGCTCAGTGGCATTAAGTAGACACGATGTAGAAATTCATATTTAAATTAAACAATCTCAAGTTGAATTATACAGCATGAAATTAACTTGGGTTGAAAAACTCGTAAATATTTTGTACAAAAAGACCTAACTTTATGCTGATTTTTAAAAGACCATGTAACACGATTTTTGTTTCTGAGTTATCAATATCATTTTGTAATTGGTTCTAACTCAAAACATGAAAACATCTTTATTTCCCTACAAAAGATTTGTTTTATGGTCGTTTACGTACCATTAAGGAAACGTACAAATCGGGTTTCTTTTTATTTAAAGACAAAAAGTGAACATTACATTACAAATCAATATATTATTATGTAGTTCCTTTTATAATCTCTTGACGAGAGTGTGCCTAACTTATAACGAAAATCTGGAGTTCTCATTGATGTTTTTGACAACAACATCTACAGATTTTGTAACAGTATTCAGAATTACTTCGCCGCGTCTTCTCATTAGTCATCTTTAATATTTTCATTTTCACTAGTTTTTAAGCTTTTGTATATTATTTAATTTTTATCTCATTTCATCATCAGTTGACGAAACTGTATGCTTACTTTTTATAATATTATGCTTACGAGCTAAGTAATCATGCAGTATGTACATATGTTAGGGTTTGCAGTTTAGATTAAAACCATAAATTGCAATATTGATTGGAGTACCATTGAATAAACTGTTTTGTGCGTCAAATGAATAAATAAATAGTATATTTCAACGTAAATTCTACAAATTGATGACGGAGTATCTAGAAATGTGTAGATTTGCGAGATTATGTATACACCACTGTGTTGCTATGTAAATAGGCAGCTATGTAAATAGCACTGTGACAGCCAAAAATCACAGTTTCAGGGATATCGCTATTCCTTTCTATACACGAGAGTCATGACAAAAGAAATTAGATTTTCAAAAATTGTAAAATTTATTCTTTATTACAGGTATCGATTTTTTCAAAGTATTCATTAGTATTCATTTATTAGTATTCATTCATTAGTATTCATTCATTAGTAGTATGATTTTCTACGGCTTGAAGTGTAATCTAACAGCTCAGCGGAGTTTCGCTTCAAACTGCTTTTGACGATGAAGCACCATACAAGACGATTATTTATAGCTGGTTTGCAGAATTGAAACGCGGTCGTGTGAATCTCAGTGACGAATTTCGTGATGGTCGCCCGTCCACTGCTGTGAACAACAAAAACATCGATGCTGTGCGCCGCATGATCAAAACAGACAGGCATGTGACATACCATGAGATTCGGGCATCTTTCGGCATAGGCATGAGTCAAATACAATCAATACTACATAAACATTTGGGTGTGAAATAGCTGTGCTCTCGTTGGATCCCACACAATTTGACTGAGGCTCAAAAAACGGATCGCGACACTTGGTGCAATGCCATGTTTACCAGATTCAACGAAGAGGCGTCAAATTTGATGTGGGACATGATAACAGGTGACGAAACATAGATTTATAACGAAGGTGGACAACGTTGACCTTATGAGCCATCCCGCGTGCAGTCCCAACCTGGCACCTTGTGACTATTATTTATTTCCAAATTTTAAGAATCAGTTACGCGGTCAACGATTTTCATCACCTTAAGAGGCTGTCGAAGAGTTTGAAAAATGTTTCAGAGATTGTCACGGAGGAGTTATTGTTTTCAAAATTGGTTAATTCATATGAAAAAGTGCATTAACGCTAACGGAGAGTATTTTGCGAAACAATAAATTAAATTCTGACCATTTATAGTATTTTTTCTTATTCATTCCGGAAATTTATAGTGCGCCTCACGTATACCAGAAACAGAACCTTTTTGAAACCCTGTTACATAGTGCTATTGAACATTTTCTATAGCATTGGAAGAAAACTCTGCCTTCTATGTACGTATTTTTAAAAATGGCTAAATTTATTAGAAAAAACGGTGAACTATTTACTAGTACTGTACCCACTTTTTTAAGACCGTCTAGATATAAGAATATATTAAGCTTTCCGCAAAGCATGATCTGAAGAAAAATAAGAATGCCATGTTATGAAAAGTTATGTCTCATATTATTTAAAGTGAAATCAAATTATGAAACGTCTAACGGGTCTGTCGCATGGCCGGAGGCTCTCTTTTTAATTGAATAATTTACAAATTAGCGTGCCCACCACATCGTATAATTAAGTAACAACGTAACTCACTTAGAAACAATATCCAATACATTCACTGGTAATAAAAAGGGAACTAATAAAATTTGATCGACTGCAAATCTGATATTGATATTGATACACATGTGTTGCGTAAAATTTAAGATGTACTAAATAAATAACAGCTACAATTGAGATTATAGTATAATTTCAAAACAAAGTAAAATGAGCTTTATTTAAATAACATGAAGTTGTATACTTTTTATGTTACGAAAAAACGTGCAAGAGAGTGCTAAACGTCCATAATTGCGTTAAAAATCAACACAGCTGCCGATCGCACCTACACATTAAAGCTTTCTAGCAAATTAGAGATAATAATCTCTATTCAAACAAGGACGCGACCACTTTCTATAAAATTCGGCCATTGTCTCTTGTTCCGGATACGTGAGGCCAACTGTCCACTTCGGGATTCATTTTACGCGATACTTGAACCGGTCTGTCCAATGCCTGCATATTGATGCACACATAGCTGTATTTTATTGGACATGCTATAAAACACTCTCTCTTGCCGTTTTGACCAAGCAACGTCAACTTACGCACCTCGTAAGGTGCATGAACAAAAATCTCAAAGTTCAATGGTGTTTTTCTATTATATGTACCTACTTCTTCTTTCTTCCTAGTAACTGCCTCAGTGGCCGAACGGTTACTATTTGTCACGCAGAGGTCCCAGGTTCGATTGCAGGACCAGAAGAAATATTTGTATGGCCTACATTTATTTCTCTCTATGTGTGTGTCTATGGCACCCGCGACACAGAGTTTCCCTAGTGCGTGGCTATGTTGAGTGTGTGCGTTGTTATTATTATTATTAAATTAATCCTTATAAAGTTTGATTACGATGGCACGGGTTTACGCCGCAGTGTACCCAAACGCCTGGTATAATGAGATTGGGAGAGACGTCAAGTTTTTACTATATTTTTATAGAGCTCCTTGTAAAAGTGTTCGTCTAGGGAAGTACTACCACATTTCCTTTTTCTACCGCCAAGCAATAATGTGAATATTACTGCGTTCCGGCTTTGAAGGGTTAAGGGTGCTGGTGAAATTACAGGCACATTGGACTTGTTAACTTACGTGTCTCAGGGTGATGGGCGTAGTGGCGGCATCACACCTTTCCGATTTCAATTTCTGAGTGGCACTGCAACTGCTATGGACAGGCGTGTCACGACAGACCACATATTTCTTCCGTGCGTGTCACTTACCACTACGCACATCTTGTTCGTCCCGTCACTAGGTACCATAAAAAAAAGCATTTATGCCTTCTGTGCCTCTACCATGAGATTACAGTGGCAGTTCTCGCTAGCGACCGCGTAAAATATTTGTATACAGAATGTTGTTTCTTCTTGTGACTGCTCAGGGTGCTGTATAATTTTCTATACAACAGTGAAGTAATTTACGCGGACGCTTAGCTACAACTGTCACAGTAAAGTCGTGGTAGAGGGACTGATCCTGCAGGTTTTCTTACTATATGCTCCTTCGTTAAAACAAGTGATAATTATTTATGTAATCCTCTTCTCTAATCGCTCTTCACTAATTTCGAGTAGGGTTACAGAAATACAAATAATTTATAGGTGAAACACTGTTTTACATGAAGGGTAAACAATAGTTAGCCTATATATGCTCCCACTGCCGCACACAGGCCTTCCCTCACAATGGTAGGGCTTGAACTGTAGTTCCCGCGTAGGCCCAATTCGGATTGGGAACTTCACACATACGATTGAATTGCTTTGTAGATGGGTGCAGGTTTTCTCAGAATGTTTTCATAATCAATTGAAACTTGTATTTTGTTTTTTGGACGCAATAGATCGACAACGTAATAGTAAATATTTTATTTACATTTATTTATTTATGTATATTTAAGTGGCTGTTTGTTTCGTATTATGTTAAAGCCTTATTTGTCTTGGAATAGGAGTATAACCAATACAAATATTATATGTCATGTAGAGCATGTATAGAAATATATTTACCTAGTGTACCAATGTACTCATTTATCATAGTACCTTTCAGACACACAGAAGAATTTAGTCGAAGTACTAACTCGACCTGTAGCTCAGTTGGCAGAGCGATACTACGGTACAGCGTGGTCGCAGGTTCAAGTACTGTCGGGTCGAAGGAATTTTTATTTGTGTTCGGTCTTTGTATTAATAATTACAACAAACTAGTAGAGTTATTTCACAAAAAAAAATTAAATGTCACGGTGATAAAACATTGTGAAATTCAATAACCTCCTGAGGCTCTGTACATCAAAATGTACATAATACGTAAAATGATTCAGACCCAGAAAATATTATCACGTAAATGCCCAGTGTATATTATACGTATATATTATACATATACAATCAAAATATCGCATTAAAATTTGACACCATATTATATTCCTTAAGGTACATACATAAGTAGGTATTTCAAACAAAACTGAGGGCATACTTGTTTGGGCCTGTAGCATGTAATTTTATTTAGTACATTTTAATGTATAGACGGCAGTACATTAAACTACACATTGATGGATCTCGTTCCGTTGCAGTGGAGGCGATAGTGGAACAAAAGTGTATAGTAAAACGCCCAATATACTGTGTACATACTGTGTATTTTTCCCATTGGATTTTACTGGGACTTAGGAGGATAAAAACGAAACAAATGATCTTGTTTTTTGTTCTGATTGTTTGTTTATATTTTGTTTTGTTTTTTATGTTATCTGTGAAACAGACGTAGCCAAAATAAAATAAAACTTGTTTTAACCTAATTGTGTTGTAAATTCCAGGGCGACTACATATGGATCGAGCCGGTGTCAGGTCGCGAGTTCGACGTGGCCATCGGCGCACGAGTGCTCGCAGCCGAGGGCCGCCGGATCAGGGTCCGGGACGACGATGGCCAGGAGCAATGGCTGCCGCCAGAAAGACGAATCAAAGCCATGCACGCCACCTCAGTGCACGGCGTCGAAGACATGATATCGCTGGGAGATTTACATGAAGCTGGAATATTGAGAAATTTGCTGATTCGGTACAATGAGAATCTAATTTATGTGAGTATTTCATGCCTTTGGTCTTTTTGTCATTGGTTTGGTCAAAACATCGCGATGAAATCTGCATGTCGAAGAGGATTCACAAACCTCGGAAAACGTGTGACACGCACTGGGCCAGTGTGGCGGACTATGGCCTAAAGTCTCTCCGGAGAGGAGACCCGTGCTCAGACGTGAGACGTAAAAATGGTATTTTTAATTTCTAAACTTTACACATGGACAATTGCCAAACAAACCATTCATAAAGTACACACTCACAATACCGTTGCGAACAATCATATTACTCATCAATGAACCTGGTGGCTATTGAATGACGATTTTTTATAAACGTGGTAAAAACATTATGAATAGAATAACTGAATATAACAACAAGTTAAGAAATTGCTATGCTAACTGCGACCATGCAAATCTAAGGCTTAAAAAATAAGAATGTATTTTAAATTTCATATTTTTACATTTGCAGACATACACGGGCTCAATTTTAGTAGCCGTAAACCCGTATCAAATACTCCCAATTTATACAGCAGACCAAATAAAATTATACAAGGAAAGAAAAATCGGTGAACTGCCGCCACATATCTTCGCAATCGGCGACAATGCATATGCGCATATGCGCCGCTATAGCCAGGATCAGTGCATCGTGATCAGTGGAGAATCGGGAGCCGGGAAGACGGAGTCAACAAAGTTGATTTTGCAGTATCTTGCTGCTATCAGTGGGAAACATTCCTGGATAGAACAACAGGTATTCAATATCTATTAACTTAGAATGAGAAGAATGTAACCTAGCCTAACGAGAAAAACCTAAATAATGAAAAACCTAAGACGAATTATAATTAAACGATTAATCATGTTCATTTCACAGATTACCGACGATATTTCTTGAATTTCAGAAAATAAATATAATTTTATCTTATATTATTTCAGATCTTGGAAGCGAATCCAATTCTAGAAGCGTTTGGTAATGCTAAAACAGTAAGAAACGACAATTCATCACGTTTCGGCAAATATATCGACATCCACTTCAATAACAACGGAGTCATTGAGGGTGCGAAGATAGAACAATATCTTCTGGAAAAGTCGAGAATAGTTTTTCAAGGAGCTGAAGAGCGGAACTACCATATTTTCTATTGCCTCCTCGCTGGACTGTCAAAAGATGAAAAGAAGAAGCTGGAATTGGGAGAACCGTCGGAGTATAGATATTTATCTGGTGTACGTTGATTGGCCTAAAATTAGTGAAAAACTTAATTATGTATTATGTAAAACGCGTACTTACACATTTTTTTTTACTTACATAAGTTCTAAATCATTGTATCTTATTGTTGTAGGGTGGCAGTTTCACTTGCGAAGGTAGAGATGATGTAGCAGAATTTGCCGACATAAGATCTGCAATGAAAGTGCTGCTTTTTACAGAATCGGAAATATGGGAGATACTAAAATTACTAGCTGCAGTTCTGCATTGTGGTAACATCAAATATGAAGCCACTGTAGTCGACAATTTAGATGCCACGGAAATTACAGAGCAGGCAAACGTGAGGCGGGTGGCAAATCTGTTGGGTCTACCGGTGCAGTCTCTAATTGATGCTTTAACTAGAAAAACGCTATTTGCTCATGGGGAAACCGTGGTTTCCACTCTCAGTAGAGACCAGTCAGTAGACATTCGAGACGCCTTCGTCAAAGGTATTTATGGACGATTGTTTGTAACAATAGTGAGGAAAATAAATACTGCCATTTATAAACCTAAATCCACAATGCGAACTGCCATTGGCGTATTAGACATATTTGGATTTGAAAACTTCGATCACAATAGTTTTGAACAGTTTTGCATCAACTTTGCAAACGAAAATCTACAACAATTTTTCGTAAGGCACATATTCAAATTGGAGCAGGAGGAATACAATCATGAAGGTATTAATTGGCAACACATAGAGTTTGTTGATAATCAAGACGCTTTAGATTTAATTGCATTGAAACAATTAAACATCATGGCTTTGATCGATGAAGAGTCGAAGTTCCCAAAAGGTACGGACCAGACCATGTTGGCGAAGCTACATAAAACTCATGGGCTTCACAGAAACTACCTCAAACCCAAGTCAGACATCAATACCAGTTTCGGTTTGAACCATTTCGCAGGAGTTGTATTTTACGACACACGAGGATTTTTAGAGAAGAATCGAGACACATTTAGCGCAGATTTGTTGCAGTTAATTCATATTTCGACAAACAAGTTTTTGCAGCATATTTTCCAGGACGACATTGTGATGGGATCGGAGACACGGAAACGAACACCAACTTTGTCAACGCAGTTCAAAAAATCTTTGGATCTATTGATGCGAACATTAGGAACATGTCAACCTTTTTTCATCAGATGTATCAAACCAAATGAATTCAAAAAGCCCATGATGTTTGATCGTGGTTTGTGTTGTCGGCAACTGAGATACTCTGGAATGATGGAAACTATTCGAATTCGAAGGGCGGGTTATCCTATTCGCCATGGGTTTAAAGATTTCGTAGAAAGATATAGATTTTTAATCCCTGGAGTACCGCCTGCGCATAAGACTGATTGCACAAAAGCGACTGCAAAAATCTGTGCAACTGTTCTTGGAAAGTCTGATTACCAACTAGGTCACACCAAAGTGTTCTTGAAAGATGCTCACGATCTTTTCCTTGAGCAGGAACGAGACCGAGTGTTGACGAGGAAGATTCTGATTCTTCAGAGGTCTATTAGAGGATGGGTATACCGACGACGGTTCCTCAGAATGAGAGCGGCCGCCGTCTTGATTCAGCGTCATTGGCGAGGCAAGCTGCAGAGGATCCGGTATAATAAGATGAAAGTTGGCTATGCAAGACTGCAGGCGTTAATCCGAGCGAGAGTCTTGGCTCACCGTTTTAGACATTTGCGAGGTCATATTGTTTCTTTACAAGTAAGTGTAGCAAAACCATAAAATTCAGCGTACAGCGTATATTCTATAAAAAAAACAATTTTAAGATAGTTAAATTCACATGAAAATACTCTTTTGTGATTCACATTAAAACTCTACACAGGCAGCGGCACGGGGTTACTTGGTACGTCGTCAATACGGGCACAAGATGTGGGCGATCGTCAAGATTCAAAATCACGTGCGTCGATTGATCGCGATGCGCCGCTACCGCCGCATGCGACAAGACGCACTGGCGCATACTGAGGCGCTGCGCCTGCGCAGACAGGAAGAGCAACGGCTGCAGCACCAGGGGAACACGCGGGCCAAAGAGATCGCTGAACAGAACTATCGTGTAAGTGGCTCATGTATTAGTAAATTAATGGCTCTTTAGAATTATTCTTTTCAGTTTAGTAATTAGACATGCGTATGTTTGATAGCACATGGATGGTATTGTTATTGCGAAAAAGGAAGCCGTGAAAAATGTTTAGGCGTGAAAAGACTTAATAATTAAAAAAGTAATCTTTAGGTTAATTTTCTCTATCTAATTTCGGTGGCAATTTTAATTATATAAATGTTATAGAATATTTTCATGAAGTATTACTTACTTAATATGTGAGTGTAGTACTCTGAAACATTATGTAATATTTCAAGATGATACACGAATACCTTTAGCTGGAGAAAATTAGCTTAAAAATTACTCTTATTATTTTTCTGATTTACTAGTTCGTTCACTAACAAAGTGCAACACGCACTGTTTATGACACCAATCCCCGCGGAAATCAAATAACGACGAGCTTCTTAATACAGAAATCCGAAGTCATTGTCAAAATAATGCAAAGGTGATACATCTATAAATGCAATATATACAATATATGTATACAAATTTCTATTGTACTAATAGCTATTACGGGTGATTGACCATCGTACTATCGTAATACAACTTGGAAGAGGTATTATTGTTATTGTGATCACCACTATTTTGGCTTTTATCCGGGTACTAAACTAACCTCCTAATTGGCTGATAATTACATCAATCTATAGAATTAATTTGTGATAACTTTAGAGTGTATAAATGAGAACTAAAGAATCCCTAGTTCAACTAATATGGCGGATAATTGAAGTAAAAAAATAAAAACGAAATAAAATTAAAATCCAATAACTTCGTAACGAATAAACTATGTCGTTGGTGATTATTTTAAAATGTGTCTTGTATATGGTATTAACGAACGACTAAGTCGGTTAGTTACAATTTTTAAACATTATAAATGTTTATTCAGACGAAAAGCACATACCTACTTAATTTTTTTTAATGTTTCCTCTAAGACTGTACATATTTTTGCCCCACCGGTGTTCTACACTCGCATTTAGTTCAAACTATATAAATCTGGGAGAAAAAGGGGTCATAAAATTGGGTTTTATTAGTTTTATAATCTGTTTTCTTTTTATAAAATTGGGTTTAAAATGAAATGTGAATTACTGTAGATGTATTTTGAGACCCATTCACGATGTTTCAGTTTATGAAGTCCACTAATGATTTTGGAAATGCATAGGATTTGATTTTAATGCCAGGGCCGATTTTTAAGTTAGACGGTTAGGGGACAACAGTGAACTGCGAAAGGCTGAGATGAGTTTTATTAATAACCCAAACAGCCTTGTAATATGGATTCTGCCAATTATTACAAAATCGATGTTAGCGTTAAAACAAAACGATATTAGTGACCTAATATTTTTAATAAAAATAGGATCAAGCTCAATTGACTGTCCGGAATTGATATCACAAATATCACTGAAAGTTCCCTCTGTAGCTTAGCCTTAGCGAAAGAAAAGAAAGGCTCAGTTCACATAATTTATGTAAATGTAGAAATGACAACAATAAAATAATAAAATGATACATTAAAGTACAATTAATATTTTTAACTGCCTCTGTGACCGATCGGTTACCACGCAGAGGTCCCGGGTTCGATTCCCGTGTCGGGAGAGATTGTTTCTCTCGTGAGTTTGGGTGCAATTTGTGGTTGTCTATGTATATGTCCATGGCACCCGCGATACAGGGTTTCCCTAGTCAGGGGCTATGAGTGTGTGCGCGTTATAATTAATATAAAACATTCTCTACTAAACAATCCAGACAACATTGCCGCAAAAGGGGCTGTACATTTACGTATATTTATATTATTTAACATGGATTAAACAGTAAATCACGGGATGTTTGAGTTTTACACGAGAGTGATTTATGAGTATGTCCTCTCGTTTTGAGAATTGATGAAAGTGACGACGGAACGTACCTAGCAACGTAAGAATAGTAACGCGACAGGGAATTCGAGACAGATTCAAAATTTTAAAAATAAGTGGCCACCAGTAATGAGGGCAATAAAAAGGAAAGATGACGACGAAGGAGGTCAGCATCGTCATACCTCTAAGTATTTAAACAACAATTCACTTTTGGTTTTACCCTCAGCTCGTACTAATTACAGGTAAAACGAGTTTATGTGGCGTGCAATCAATAATTTTAACACTCTATGTAATACTTTTGGTCTGAATCTTTTCAGTACAAGTGCGATTCCGGCAAGGAGAGCACTGAGTGGACACTTCTTTGACTCATAGTATATAACTGCAGTTATCTGTTTACGTAATAGGTTAGTTAAATTGCGCACCAAGGAACCTTGGTATTACATTTCTATTTGCGGCGATCTGTAATTGACTTTGAGTTGTTATTATTTAATTTAGTTTTAAGCTCTTGGTCTTTCTATTAGATAAAGTAAATAGATAGATAAATAATCGACAAAACATCGAAGTAAACAAGACTGTACGTTATAATTTATCTAAGCAATCTGTACAATTTTTTAAATAATTTTTGTGTAAAGATAAAGGACACAAATAAAGGAACACCTTTACTCAACAGAGAAAGATAAAGACCAAAACAACATCAAACAAGCATTAGCAACGTCAAATTGCGACTTTTATAATATGAATTATAAGAACGAATGAACTTTGTATTTTATTAAAAACAGATTACACGGAATATGTAAAACAAAGATAATATCACCTCATACAATTAAATGTATAGGCACGTATTAATGTATACAAACTTTACAGGATGTAGCAAAAAGTGTAAACAGTTTTTAACTGATCGTCGTAGTAATCGAAAGCGAAAAGAAATCTTTAAAGTCACGAAAATTTGTATTCCGAAACAAACTTTTATTTGGCAATTTTGTTTGTGGATGCTAACATTTTGTCGAATCGTTTGTTGCACCACATTATTGTTATTATCATTCACAAATTTACTTATTTTAACGAGAATATAACAACGACTTCGACGTGAAGTTCGTTTTAGAATGGAAAATTTGAAAAGTTCGTATATTTACGTAAAAAAGTTTTGCTCATGTTTACCCGATTTCATAGTCGAAATGAAAAGATGGATTATAATTTTCATAAAGGACGAGCGTTTTATTAGTATTACACAATATGTACTATCAACAATGTTGACACCTTACCGCATTAAGGGTTCTTTTTTGTGCAACTCGCACTTTGCTTGTACATGACTAGATTACATTTTTATTATATAAATAGGGTCAAAAAAATAATGGGCGTGGTTAGCTACGATCTCCTTTTGGAAACAAAATACTCGAAGATTGGCAAATCCTTTTACTTAATCGTAATTCTACTAAATCGGCTACATTCTCGATTCGGAAAAATGCTAATTAAACTTATAGATATAGATGAAAAACAGAATTAGGTATATTCTCAAAAATCTAGAGGTTTGAAATTTTCACTCATTCTCGTAAATGTCGTCATGATACAAATTTAATAATATCGAGTTCTCAGGTTTTCGCGGTTGTTACACATAACACTATTTAACATAACACTATTTTTCCTTTCGATTTAGAACCAGTCAGCTGTGACCATGGGATCTGTAAATGGTCCGAAACGTTTGTTTGTTTGTAAAACAAATATAAGCGATTGAAATCCGAAAAATGGCTTGATTACCTACCTATATTATGTAGTTTAATGTTACGCTTTAATTTTACTAATTTGACGGCTCTGAGCTCCATTAAATCATGTATCTTTTTTATATTTATGTATAACAAAAGGGTAAAGTACGCTTAATGAAGATGTAATATAAAAATTTAATGATACATAGATGGAAGGAACACAAGGAAAATTTCTTCGATCAGGCTTCATTTGAACCAGCACCTGTTTGCCAGACCGAGGCTAACCGCTCTCCAACCGAGATAAGGAACGAATCAGCAGACCTCAGAATTACTTTACGTGCTTTTTACCGATCTCTGTTTTGTATTTAAACAGTTTTTTGCCGTAGCGCCATAAGTTCTTCACTCAGGCTCTGGTAGCTATAATGGTCCCGGTTTGACTAACAGGTGCTCTTTCGAATCCAGTTGGATCCAAGGAATTTTTGTTTGCGTTTGTTCAATCTTTATATCATTAATAACACCAAACTAATGGATTATTTTCAAAAATATGAAAAAAAATATTGTAATAATCGAGGCTTCATCGCTCAATCGCAATATCAACTGATGGTAGTGAAATGGTGAATGTTGGTACACCCGATTCGTAGCCATATCAAATTAATTAAATGATTAGGTAGTTTTACTTACGTCAATGATTAATTGTAAAATTAATTTTTAAGGAGTTGCTTTATTATCAATCAAGAGCATAAGTATTGAAACATTGATTGATTTCTTTTTATCTATCTGATTTATATGGTTGCCGTTTAGAGTGTAGGAAGATTTTGGTAAAATAAAGGCAAAGATCGCGATCAAGGCGAAGTAAAAAAAGATAATGCAATACGGTAAACCTGTTTGCATTAATGTAATTGCTTTTAAGTTATTATATTCACGTAAATCGAAAAACCTTGAGTGTAATAGACAAAAAAATGCCAGCAAAAAATCAATATGGCAGACGTTGCCGAACTACGATTATAATTCAAAACGCTATCTTATCGATACATATTCGCCATAAAAAAGTAACAGCATCACGTTGTGAATGTTTCGTAAATTTACTTATTGATTGTTTGGAAAATATCTTGTATGCGATTGCTCTGGAAACGTATGGAAATTTTCCTTTAGAGTGCAAAGATAACACTAAAAGATGAAGAAGAATGCCGCTCGATTATCTCGAGATTGTAGAAAACGACAATCACTTCAAATTGATGATATCTTATTTTAATAATTGTTAGTTAACAACAAATCGTTGAGCTGTGTTCGTTGAAATTTCTAGATTCATATTTTCTTTTTGTTTGTGTAGTTTAATTTTTTAAATTACCTGTGTCATTCGTTTTTAAGTACATCCTAATTAATTAATTAGGTATTAATATTAGCTATTAATTTACTATCACTA